ATAAGAAGCTGTTAGAACATGCTTGTACAAATTTCCTTTTATTACCTTTTTTTTCCAAATGTAAGGTAGTTAGGTAGATAAGTAACAAAATCTATATAGTAATGCTTAGTGGCACAAAAAATATCTGCTATTACACATACCATTACATTTTCAAGTACAATAAGGAAATGGTAGATAACAGCATATTTTCACTTTATTTCACTGCTTCATGGCATTTAAAACAGATGTTAAAATGAATGTGAACAAAAGGACTGGGAATGGAACTCAGTATAGCATAGCTTAAAGACCTACTGTTATGTAAGTGTGCTTTCGGGACAGCATACCATCATTTATTAGCTTTAGTCCTCCAGTGGGAGACAAGTTACAGATCTTCTAAACTAGTATCTCTAGAATGCACAAATCCTCTTGGAAAGAGTAGCTGTGGAGCCTTGATAACATTTTCTCCAGTCTTCAAGCAGCTAGAACCTCTTAGCTTGTGGCCTTTTGCCCAGAATAATCATTCTTAGTCAATCACATGTGGTATACAGATATTATTTTCTTGACCCAAGTGTTAAAACAGGTTGAGAACTTGATAACATTTTTCCTCTGAAAAATTGGGTTGCTGTCAAAATTTTGTTAGATACTGTATCTGATAAATAATAGCCCAATAGATGTTATAAACTATTCTTAGTTGCTAATAGTCAAAATCTATGTCACACACACACACACACACACACACACATCTTACAGCAGACTTCCTGATCCTCTGATTTTTACAAAGCCTTCCCCCTTTTCTGTGATGTTCCATGAACTACTACGTTGTGAATGTTACAATAAGTATTGGGCACTCAACAATCAATTATTCTTGCCTAGTTTTGGATTTGTGCAATGTATATACCTTACTCTGTATATTGAAAAATAAGGTTTTTTATTAAGGTTTGGAGGTAAATTTATTTTTGGTTTTAAGAATAGGGATTTTACATTTCTCAAAGACTTAAGGATATTTAACACCTTTAAAGATATTTCCTAGCAATTTTTATTTCTACTCTTAAGAATTACCTGTTCAAGCTCATAGTCATCTCTTTAAATGATATTTGACACTTGTGAGGCATCGTATATTCTGAATGCTAATCTTCTGTAAAATATATAGCTGGAAAAGATTCTTTCCTACACTCTGGGTTATCTCTTCACTTCTTGAATGTTTCCTTAGCTATAGCCTTTTTTTAAAAAAAAATTAGTTTTATTTATTTACATTCCAAATGTTACCTCCTTCCCAGTCCTCTCTCAAAGATTTATTCACTCCTCCATCTCCCATTTGCCTTTGAGAAGATACTCACTTCACTATCCACAGCCTACCCACCACCACCCATCCACCCCCACTTCACCCCACCCACTATCCCCCACATCCCTGTTCCTTAGAGCATCGACTCTTTACAGAATTAGACTCATCCTCTCCCACTGAGGACAAGGCAGTTTTCTGATATACATGTGCCTGAGTCTATGGACCAGCCCACTTAACCGTTTTAGTTAGTCTCTGGGAGCTCCCAGGATCTTGGATAGTTGATACTGTTGTTCTTCCTATGGGGCTACCATCCCCAACAGTTCCTTCTATTCTTCCTCTAAGACCCAGCTATACTGCTCCTGGGGATATACCGGGATATACCCAAAAGATGCCCCATCATATGACAAGGGCACATGCTTCACTATGTTCATAGCAACCTTATTTCTAATAGCCAGAAGCTGAAAGAACTCAGATGTCCCTCAACAGAGGAATGGATACAGCAAATGTGATTCATTTACACAATGAAATACTACTCAGCTATTAAAAGTGAGGACATCATGAGTATTGCAGGCACATGGGTAGAACTATAAAGTATCTTCCTGAGTGAGGTAACTCAGACCAAAAAGACATGCATGGTTGCATGGTATGTACTTACTGATAAGTGGATATTCCAAAAAAGTACAAGATACCCATGATACAACTCCAAGAATGCATGAAGTATAACAAGAAAGAAGGCTCAAGTGAGGATGCTTCAATCTCATTTAGAAGGGGGAACAAAATAATCATGGGAAGTAAAGGTAGTGAGGGACCTGGGTAGGGGAGCAGGAACAGGTATGTAGGGAGACAGGAGACAAGCCTGAAGTAGAGGAGAATGAATGGAAATATACAGCTGTCAGGGTTAGGGGACAGGGAACTTCTAGAAAGTTCTAGAGACATGGGATGAGAGAGGGCCCCAGGATTTAGTGAAGGTGATCTTAGCCAAAATACCCAGCATGGGGAGGTAGAACCTGAAGAGACCACCTCCAGTAGATAGACAGTGCTCCTGTTGCGGGATGGAGTCACCAATTTGCCTTCAAAAATTTTGACCCAGACTTGTTCCTGTCTAAACGAAATGGAGGGAGGGACAAAAAGGGAGCAGAGTTTGAAGGAAAGGCCAACAAATAACTGGCCCAACTAGGGAACCATCCTATGCATGTACACCAAACCCTGACTCTATTACTCATGCCATGCTGTGCTTGCAGACAGGAGCCTGGCATGGCTGCCCTCTGAGATGTTCTACCAGCAGCTGACTCATACAGGTGCAGGTACTTACAGCCAACCTGATCTTGGGTGCCCGTATGGAAGAGTTAGGAGAAGGATTGAAGTAGCCTTTATTTTCCTTTATTTTTATTTTATTTTTATTTTATTATTGATTATTTTATTTATATACATTTCAAATGTGATCCCCTTTCCTGGTTTCTTTTTCACAAACCTTCCCCCTTCCCCCTGCTTCTATGAGGGTGTTCCCCCACCCACCCACCCACTCCTGCCTCACCACTCTAGCATTCTGCTACACCGGGGCATTGAGCATTCTCGGAACCAAGGGCCTCCCCTTCCATTGATGCCACGTAAGTTCATCCTCTGCTACATATGCAGCTGGAGACATGGGTCCCTCCATGTGCACTCTTTGGTTGGTGGTTTAGTCCCTGGGAGCTCTGGGGGGTCTGGTTGGTTGATATTGTTGTTCATCCTATGGGGTTGCAAACCCCTTTAGCAACTTCAGTCCTCTCTCTAACTCCTCCATTGGGGTCCCTGTACTCAGCCTGATGGTTGGCTGTGAGCATCTGCATCTGTATTGGTCAGGCTCTGTCAGAGCCTCTCAGGAGACAGCTGCTGTATTATGCTTCTTTCAGCAAGCACTTCTTGGCATCAGCAATAGTGTCTGCATGTGGGATGGATTCCCAGGTAGGGTAATCTCTGGATGGCCTTTCCTTCAGTCTCTGTTCCACTCTTTGTATTTTTCCTAAAGTGCCACTTTTCAAGTGTAGCCTTAATTTCTGAGCAAATAGAGTCAAAATTCAGAAAGCTATCTCCTGCACCTCTGCATTTTAGAGCACTGCCTTTGTTTTCTTCTAGCAGTTTCAGTGTTTTTGGCTTCTCAATGAGTTATTTGACCCATTTGGAATTGACTTTTTTTCGGGCCATAGGCATAAATCTAATTTCATTCTTCTCCATATTGACAGATATGGTCACATAAAGAGCAGTGGCACTCATAATAAAAACACCAATTAACTTGCCAGTGAGCAAATGGAAATTGTACAAAAGCCCATCTTCAGATGAAGAGCAAGCAATTTATATAACAACAAGAATGAAAAGAATGCTCAGGAATTTTAGGAGTTAAGAAGGAACACAGAAATTGTTAGGTATGGGAGAAAGAAGGGTAAAATGAGGTAAATACATTTCTTATATATGAAATTTATTTCTCAAAATATTTTAATCATGAATTAAAAATATGTGAGAACTATTTTTTAGGTATGTTTGTTACTTTTTTAGATTATAATTTACTTATACTTCTCCCTTCCCTTTCTTCCTTCAAACCCTTTCATGTACCCTTCTCCACTACTCCACTCTTTTTCAAAATCATTCTCTCTCTCTCTCTCTCTCTCTCTCTCTCTCTCTCTCTCTCTCTCTTTCATGGTTATTGCATGCATGTGCATGTATATACAAACATATTCTTAGATATAACTTGTTAAGTACATATAATACTGTAGGTATATATGTTTCCAGGGATGACCATTTGGTATCTCTTTCTTTAGTTGTTTGGGTGATGCTGAAACCTTTATGGCTCATTGGTTTCATCCTTGCCCAGCTCTCATGTCAATAGTCATGTTGATGAGACTTTATGGCTGCAGCTTCTGATACTACTGATAACAGTCTCACAGAAATTTTCCTGTTCTTTTGGCTCTTATAATCTTTCTGTTCCCTCTTTTGCAATGTTCCCTGAGCCTTATGTTGAGAACCGTTTTGTAGAGGTATCCTGTGAGGATGGAATCAACAACTGGTCATTTTGATTAGTTGTGTATTTTTACAGTGGTTTCTGTCTGTTATAAAATGCTTATTTGATGAGAAGTAGATGAAGATGACAATTATCTATGAGTATAAAGATAAGTGCTTATATTTATAGATCATTAGTAGGAGCTACACATACTTAGTAAATTGATGTTTATAGATTCTCCTCCAATAACTATGACTTCACTAGCACTGAGTAGTTAGTTAGATTTTCATTATCAGGTAGTATCTCCCTTTTCTTACGAAAATCTTAAATTCAGTTAAATAGCTATTCATTACTGCTATGCACTGTGACATTGTTGTACAGAATATAGTTATAATTTCATGCCCATTGATATGGATCCTAGGCATTTCAGCTATATTATAATGTTCATTGCCTTCCTATTTTGGAAACTTGCATGGCTTCTAGCTCCAAATCTTCAGATGTGAATATGTAACTTGTAGTAAGTACAAAAATCAGGAAAGTAAAATGGGACCATTGCCAGAATGGGCTTGGCAAGCAATATATAATGGGTTAACAAGGTACAAATCATTGAAATGGAATGGAGGAGACACCTTAATTAGGAGGACTGAAGCTCATACAGAAGACCTTGGAAGAGGGGTCAAGAAGAATTACAAGATGCAGGTGATAGAAATGATGAGAAATGGTGCTCTATATGAAAGAGGAGGGCAGTAAATACAGGAGAGTCACTATTTTAAGAATCAATTTTAATAACAGAAAAACAACAATATAGAGTTATTTTAATCATTTGCAGTATCATTTTATGCATGCATACAATACTAGAAAAAATTTAATCAAAGATCTGAGTCATTATTTTCTCCTAACAGATTTTTCCTTTATTTTTGTCTTCTGAGGTGTTTTCTCCAGGCTCTTACATACAGCAAAACACTTCTTTTGAGTGAGTAGCTGTCAGGAGAGAACAGATAATTTTGATCAGAAGTAGTTGTTTGTACTTTCTAACCAGAAACTGTATATGAATGTTACATTACCGACTTATCAACTTTTCCATTATCTACAGCTGTGAATTTGACAACTACCTGGGCTTCATTTTGTTGTCAGAACATATTTACTTATGTGGGAGTCTGCCTTCACTTTCTAGCTTCATTCTCAATAAGGACATTCACATTCAAAGTGCTTTAACAATGTCTGTTCTCTTTGTTCCTATTGGACAGCTATCCAGCCTACATTTGAGTCCATTTTATGACTCCTTTAAAAGTTTCTAAATTGTGTAGATGATAACGATGTCAAAAGGAATGTTCCTTATTCTAGTCAACAGCTAGAGCCCGAAGGAAATACAGAAAATTTTGTTTGCATGCTCGAAATGTGGTTGTTTACTTTAGGTTTGTGTGTTGTTCTGTTATTTAAGATTCAATATTGGAGACTGAACATAGGCCCTCATGCATGTTAGGCCAGTGCCTTTATCATTGACTATAAATCTAGCACCTTGAAAGTAGAAAATTAAAGAGATTCATTAGCTTAAAACATTCAGTACCAAAAGTAAATTCGACCAATTTTTAAAAATATTTACCTCAAAATGTATTCTTGGATAAAATACAGAGGAGACTTAAAGGAGTATTGTATAAGACCCTTTAGTGAAGTCACTATTTAGTCCATTTCTGAGTGATCTGTGATGCCTGTTAAAATATCAGTTCTGTATGTTGCCTATAGGGGAGTCAGGAATCCTCATGGTTCATAACATCACAGACACATATGATGTAGCTGAATGTTCAGATACACATACACACACAGATATATAGATATATGAGACATGAGATATGATATGTGATATATGATTGATATATGATTGATTGATACATGATATATATGATATGATATATGATATGATAAAAGATTGATTGATATATGATATATAATATATGATTGATATATGATATAAGATATATGATGATATATGGTATATGGTATATGATGTTATATGATATATGATGATATATGATGATACATGATGTTATATGATGTTATATGATATATGATATAGATGACCTATATAGCCTACACATTAATACTCTCAGGTAAATAATCAGATAGATTAAAATTAGATGTTTAAAACCAGAAAAAAATATGATAGTCAATAGTGACAACAAACTTAATTGAAAAAGAGTCTTTTAAATCAAATACATGGTAGTTAGAATGCATAGATAAGCTCAGGCTAGAATATACACGAACTTGAACATCAACTTAAAAAAATTGAAATAATTTCAGATATCAGCATTTAAACTCTGCCAAATAGGTCACTGAAGAACCATTGATTGGTTTAAATAAAAGCTGTTTTAGTAAGGTTAATGCTTTAGGAAATTTGTTCTGGCAGCAAAGTCTGACATGAATTGGAAGCAAAAGAACTTGAGAGATTCTATAATCAGAAAGCATCTGTTATTAATTGGCCAAGTAAAAGGTGATAAGTATCCACAATAACATGTTAGCACTGGGCAGGTTTAAACAGCATGCAAGAGAAAGACCTTCCAGGTACTACAGGAGTACAGAAGATGAAGGGGTGTGTGTGTGTGTGTGTGTGTGTGTGTGTCTAGAAAGGGCTAGAAGGTTTGGTACTGAGACCAAGGACAAATTGGATAGGCCATTGACATATGTGGAAAGGGAGTAAAGGATAAAAGTTACACAAAAAGTAAATTTGGATACAGTTTATCAGGATTGAGAAAAGAAATATCCAACAAGTATCCTGACAGGTTCTGCATACATTTACTACAGCATGAGAAAACAAAGATTTATGCCTCCTAAAATGATAACATGATTATAAATGTATTATACATTACTTTGAGAAACACACATATTTTTTCTGATGGAATAACAAAAATATATCAATATATCATAGGTGGTCCTTATCACTATAGTTTCATTAGAATTGTGTCATCTTTGTAGTAAAAAAAAAACCTGGACAGTCTTCTTAATTCTCCCTTTAATTGTATATTAAATGTCATTCTGTGTTTTCCTTTATAGACCAGGGTACCCTTTCTGGAGGAGACAATGGGGCAAATGCTGTGAAACTTTCTGTTTCATGCATAGGTAATATAAGCTTTTCTAATAGCTATTCAGATGGAGATTTCTGCTAACACCAAAGTCTTGGATGAGTTCAGAAATTCCAAGAGCAAGAACAGGCTCTAAAAAAATGATTAGAAGTTCTGACAATAGCAGAGATTGAAAATGATTGATTTATGAGTAGAAAGCCTTGTTTACTGTGAGTTTTTGAATGAGAAAGAAGAAAAAAGTGTGTTACCTCAGATCATTGAAATTAAGTAACTAAAAACTGACACCAGAGGAAGGTAAATTTATATTGCTTTGAATCATATACAAATACGGAAGCAGAAGTATATATTTTTCCGAGCCTAAAAGTTATTCTATGTGAATTTTTGATCTTTCAGGAAGTTTGTGATTTCTATTTTCAAACAGTCAATATATTTGAAAGGAAGCTTTATACCAACTAACTTGAAGTCTCTAGACAACAATAGGTAAAATGTGGACCATATATTCTTTCAAGAAAGTTCTATAATATAATGGCCAATAGGTTGGCCACCTTTAATTGACTATAATATTTTAAATTACTTTTTTATTTCTTTATTAATTAATGAGATTAATTACAGAGAAATATTTCTCTAAAAATACATAATAAAAGCCATTACTGAATTTACTCTCTGAAACATATGCAGATACAGAAATACTTAAACTATTTAGAATAAATTGGATGTCTGAAATGACATTTATTGGCCATTAAATCTGATTTTGTTTGTAGCTCCTATGCAAAGTAGTGATTGCTTCTCTAACTGCTTCACTGCCCTTTGCCAAGTTGTTTCAAGCAGCTCATTTAGGTTGGCTACACTTCACTTATAATATCCACATCTAAAAGATATTTTCTCACTGCTATCAACTTCTAAGGCTTGGTGGTTGAAGGTCATTTTTGTATGATTTCAGGACACTAAACTCACTTTTTCATAGAAGAAAAATTGCATAATATATGACAGTAGACTGTTCACCACTATTTTTTCAAGGGTCCCTAGAGAATTGTAGTGCATGAAATAAATACAAATACAATTGCTAGATACTACCTTTCTTTGTGCGGTACCTAGTGTAATTATAAGTGCTTGTGGAAAATGTTGGCTTATATTGAGCCTTCTCAAAATAGAGGGGAAAACAGCTATTAGACTCCTGCTGGAATTTAGGAAAACAAGCTAGTCTTAAATTCTAACAATCTGATGGCATCCAATCTTCCCTGCCCAATTATTCAAAGAAATATGTTGCTATTACATGTTTCAGTGTAATTTTAGAATCAGACATAGCCTCTGGCAGCGTATCACTTTGTTTTATCCCTGACTTACAAACAATATTTGGCACTTTTTTATTTTTAATTTAAAAAAAAATATGTGCCCTATAAAGATGACCATAGATGTTTTGCTTGTTCTGCCTACTGATCTCTCTAAGGGATCTGGTACTTAGTAAGTGCTCAAAAGTAATTAATAAATGAATTATCCTAAAAATGTCTTCTTTTAGAAAATTAATTTGTGGGTCTGGAGAGATGGCTCAGCGGTTAAAAGCACTGGCTGCTTTCAAGAGGTCCTGAGTTCGATTCCCAGCACCCACATGGTGGCTCACAACCATCTGTAATGGAGTCTGATGCCGTCTTCAGGTTTATGTCTGAAGAGAGCAATGGTGAACTTATATATATATATAATAAATCTTTAAAAAAAAAGAAAATTAATTTGTGCTCTCTTTTAATGTTCCTTAGCAGAGATCAGATCTAATTTATTTTAATATATATTAATATAAGAAGATAATTTAATATATATGAATGATTGTTTAGGTTATATATTTTAATTTGGGAATATATCAGTATTTTATTATATCAAGTAAATGATATTGAGTCCGAAAAATTATGGCAAATCATTTCACCTCTACAATATTGATAATTATCTTTATGTGGTGGTTAGTCTTGTTAGCCAACATGAATGGTATGGAATTAACTAAAAGACAAGACCTAGAATAATTGTGAATGTTTTCCTTGACCAAAGAACACCAATGTTAACTGTGAATGGCAGCTTTCACTGGCAACCCAGTAAGAAGGAAGTAGAATAAGGAAGCTTTACTTCCTGCTTGTCTTCCATCTTAATGGCAAGTTTATCTGCTTTTACTGATATCTCTTCCCTTTGCTATTATCGAAACCTACCTTCTTTCTAGAAAATTTTGAGCCTTCAAAACCATGTTAGGACCACTGACATGTTCTGACTCAGAGGCTAAGTGACTACTGGATTTTCTACTGATCTGAAGCAAGATAGCCATTGCTGGACTACCGAAAACATTGTGTCAAACATGCAAACCCACTTAATGCCAGGTACAGTGGTCCTGTGTCAAGATGGAAGCTAAAGAGCCAGTTAGACTAGTGTTTTCAACAGTGACCCACACAAGGGAATCTGTTCCTATCAAGGAAAGTGGCAAGGACCAACATTTGAGGTAGTCTTCAGACTTCCACATGTGTACAATAGAATACTTGTGCTCTCATACACATACACACATAGATACACATATCACATCCAGAAATTCTAAAACTACAATTTTATGATTTCAGAATCTTTTGGTAAATACTGGACAGATGTATAATACAAATAAATTAAAGTTGTAATACATACCAATGTATTGTAGTTTTCCTCAGGCTTTGGTATTTTGTATATAAATTTCTCCATGTTATGTTAAATATTTTAGTGCTTATTTTTATCAAAATGCCCTTTCTCCTTGTATACTTGAATTTTAAATGAGAGGGTGAATAATGAATACATCAGGAATTGCCTTCAGTCTCTCAAGTAAAACAGCTACATCACGTTTTTGTCAGTCTCTATTATGTCTATCATTTTTGGTTTCTTATTCAACAGATGGAGATGGAATTT